TAAGGATATTTTCCTAACTCTTTCAGGACCAGAGAAATAGGTATTTTTCCAATAAGGAAATATTAAGTTGCACCAGATTTTCTTCATATCACATATACAAGGAGAGCTTTTAAATCATGATTTATACAATTTCTGATATTATTCTTGTATCTATAACTAATAGGAATTGCACGTTCATTTCACTTGGGTGAAATGTACCCTTGTGCACATGGTCAGCACAAAGCCTATGCACCAATTAATACCTCTTACATCCTCAAAAATCAGGCTTAAGTGAGATTTAAGGTATGATCGCCTTACCAGGCAGCATGAGATTGTGGGGCGGGGCTTGGAATGCAGTGCATACCCCCTGGATTGCCCTGTTTCAAGAGTCAATCAATAGGCTGGACCTCAAAGAAGAGGGCTGTCAATGGGTAGTTCTGGTCCCTGCAACAGGCTCTTGGGTTGACTAGCTAGGGCTGGATAGGTCTATGATGGCATGGAGATTGATGGACCTAGAATAATTTCGTGGGCATTCTGTAGAGTTCGAGGACCTATGCAGTCAGTTTATGCAATAATCTTTCTTGACAAATGAGCACACAGGTTCTGTTCATTTTAGTGATATGTTGACTGTCATGTTTGGGATTTGAGCAGTGAAAAGGGTGAAGGCAGGTAACAGAGGGAACACTGAGGACCTTCCCCTTTTTCACTGCTACCAGGACAGTTTGACTTGAGTTGTTATCCTGCTATGGAATTTATACAGTTGCGACCAACCGGCCAACAGTACAAGATGTTTTAACTGTCGTCACTGACCCCTGCCATTCACAAGTGGTGCATAGGGCTGCACACTGCACATAGGGGAATTTTGTCCTTAATATTCAGTTTCCTTTCTTTATATCTCCATTACTTTAATTTTCAGCTAATATACTGTATGCTCCCTGCTACAGTACACTAAGTTCACCAACACTGAGCAACCATAAGTAATTTGCACCTACCAGCAATTTTTAATGATTTTACCATCATTACTGAGGTAAAATATTTTCAATAGGAAAATTCAATATTTTTACATTATATGCTGCAATTCTACTCAGACTTACATTTTTATATTTAAACAAGGAACATTATGATCCTAGTTCATTTGGTAATGAGTTATGAGAAAAAGTAATACAGCAATAAAGATGCCAACAAGATCAAAGAGTGGACTATATTAACATTTTGAAAAAACATTTCATATTGGGACTAGGACACCTGTCTAATTGTCTAACCAATGTTTTCACAAAATGGTCTGAAATATTTTATTTTTTAAGTAAACTAATGGTTTGAAGAAAACTTGGGAAGTGCTTACAGCATATTATAGTACACTTTAAAAACAGAGAGCTGATGTGGAGACATTGAGTCCTTATTTCTTTTGACTTATGTCATATTTATGAGACAAAGAGCAAGTCAAGAAAGATGCCATACATCACATAACAGAATGCAAAGGGAAAGAAATAGGAAATAATAGCTACAGGGGGAAAAAGGTCACTGTGGAAAAAAAAGTGTGAGCAAAAACAAAAATCAATTCATTATATCAAATACTAAGAACACCACTACACTGTCATTAGAGTACCCTGCTATCATCCATTTTAAAATCACCAGCAGTCAAAATGTTCTAAAGCTAATAGCACTATAGCAACAGCTGACTACAATGCAACTAAAAGGTTTTAAAAGAGTACTATAAATCAAGTGACAGATACCTGTCACAAGACTATTATTATGTCAAAATCTCTGTACTGTGTAGAGTACTTTAGTGCCATAATAATGATGGAATATGTTTACTCTAATCATTGACAAAAAAACCTAATTCTGTTGTACAACAGGACTTTGGAAGACTTATAAAATTACCTAACAGACATGAAACAGTAATCATGATACAATGGACATATCTTTGTATTTAAGAACATGAATGTGGTGCTTCTGAAAAGTACCAGGTGATAGCCCTGGAGAGTAAAGACCTTTAATTGTTTAAGGGACTGTCACAGTATGAACAGCAACAATGCAAACTTCCCCACACCTTCCAATCAAAATGGCTCTGCATTCCTCTGTCAAGACTATTCGGAAGCAGCGGTGCTGGAAAATTTTTTACAGTGGGAGTGCTGAGAGCCATTCAACCAAATTGTAAACCCTATACATAATGGAAATCACTCAAGAGATGGGGTGCAGCAGCACCCCTAGTTCATAAAGTGAGAGGGCAGTTAATTTTCCATGCTCATACAATCCTCTGGTCCCTCTGCTAGGCTAAATGGGTGCCAACTGTGGTATCTGGGTTTGTGATATGGATACCTATCCACAGCATTCAGATTGAGATAAATTAATTTGAAGTACTGTTATTTTTTGCTCATTCCTGGACTGGGCTGAAACCAGTGACCTAGAGATGAAACAACAATGAAAAACAACATTACTTACATCAAGTGCTTTTCTTTCATAGGTCTCAAAGCACTTCAGAAAGGGTCTGTGTAACAGGTTCTATTGCAAATCTTGTGTCAGATTACTGTACCTCCATTGTCCAGGTATCCAGTCCCCATATAATTAATTTTGAAATATTAATTTAGAAATGCACCTCTTTTAATGGAGTCTTTTTAATGAACAGCAAAGACTTTGAACTAGCAAATACTATTTTATAGATTGAGCAAGTTTAACAACTAACTCACAAAAAACTGTGCAATGATATTAGACTTGATAACTTGGTTAAAATAAAAACCCTGTATAAAGTAAATTGAACAGCATTCATCTTGAAACTATGGAGATATATGCAGTGTTGCCTTAGGGTCATTACTACTCTGACTTTTGTATCACCTGTCTCAATTGTGAACTTTTCCCTTATATCAATTGTCTTTTACCACCAGATTTTATAGTCTGAAGCAATTTAATATGCTATATGCATTTCCTGTCTGTATATATTTTATCTTTATCAAAATATTACTAAAGAAGAAACCAAGACACAAATTTTGCAACTTTTACTAGACTTGCTATAAATTTTACAAAACAACAGTGTTTAAAAATGCCTGAAATACTCAAATTATTTTTTAAAAATAGTCAGCCAATTAATTTCTTGCTACTGTACTTCTAGTCATTCTGAAATAGCTGTATGGTTCTCCCACAAATCTAGGAGATATTTAAATAACTTAAATATGCTGATGAATGCCCATTGATACACATCACAGAACATCCATTATCCATGCTGGGTCAAATAAAATGCATCCAGGGTCCAGAATATTACAAAAGTAACTGTCTCCCCATATAATGGCCCATTTCTCCTCTCCCATCCCACTGTAGCTATCTCATAATGTGAGCACCAGAGAAATGTTTTAGTTTCAATCAGCTATCCTGTCAAGGGATAAACTGTTCACTAAAAAGCTACCATTATGTTTAAAGAAATCATAATATGTGAAGAAAAATAGTTTGCTAGTTCAATAAAGTCTTTTCTGATGCTGTAAAACATAGCTGTTGTTAATCTTGATGGTTTATAGTGTGTATTGGCCCATTATCGATTTTGCTTTGAGTACCATTAAAACAATATTAGAATAGAACCAAGATTCAATGCACATAGCTTGTCCCACAACTCTCCTCACAAAAATGGCTCATTTGAAAGTATTAAATAAATAAAAACCTGAAATATAATTTATTAATTTAATCTGGTGACAAAAATCAAAGTTTTCCCTCTCATAATATGCTAATAATTATTTATAAACAAGTAGTACCCATTAATACAGGACTTTTGTTGTAAAATATTCCTCTAACTACACAGTCACATGTCCACTAACAAGCATACAATTATCATTAAGTCGTTAAAAAAAATAACAGTCCAGAACTGATTCATGAGTGGTAGGAGACAATATGTTCCCCAACTCTGTTCCTTTTTACTACCAACACCAACCCTGCCTTTCTCGCACTCCACAACACCATGGAACACAATCCCATGCAATCTGCTACTTGGAAGGTTTTCTTCACAATGTACAATGGAAAGTAGCATATGACCCTCCGTTTTCAGATTCTTGTGACTATCTGGGGTAAAAAGTATGTCTCCGGTTGGATTTTCCTCTTCTTATTTTTCCCATTATTCCCTCCAAAATTACTTTAGTAGTTCACATTTTAATAGAGTCTGAAGGCGTATAGGACTCCATCTGGTCCAAAAATTGAGACATTTCCAATGTCAGAAGACGATACAGAGAAATTTAAGTTACTGCATTCCTGTTAAAAACCATCTTCTTGAAAATCATTTGGATCACTGTAACTGATAGAAAAATTCAAAATTCACTCTGCTTTGGAGTGGTCTACCCATTTGTACAGCCTTGAATGACAGGTTGTCATATCTCACATTGTAAAATAATGGGTGAAATTGATAAAATCAGCAAGGAAGTGTTAGAAGAAATATCTCCCTTCCTTATCTTTTCAACGGAATGGTCTGTTGGACTACTCCAAGTCCATACACAAACATAAGGCCATTTTGTGCCTATTAATCCTTGGACGTGGTGTTGAGCTGCACCACCACAGTAGGAACTCTGAGGGGCGTTCTCCACCAGTAGTGACCATAGTTAAAAGCTTACAATTATGCTTGACCTCAACATGACACAGAGTGCAAGGAACAATTTCCCACCTTCAGTCCTAACACAGAGGCCAGCAACAATTTCAGTCACTGTTCTGTTCTACTTATTGTAGACACTGCTCCTTGCTAGTCCCCAGTTGGGAACAGAAATTATTCCAAATGGATAGGAAACAATGGGATCAAAGGCCCTCCCTAGCAACCACGAAACTTCCAGTTGTGACTGGCCAGTATATGGGCACCAAACACAATCTGGCTTTTCATAATAGTTGTCGCTACTATTCTGGGGGACTCATATGATATCCGATTAATCTTAAACACAAAATCAATTGCTCTCAAAACAATGACTCAAAAATACTATGGTATTTACTGATAGAGTTTACAGAGCTAACTTTGAAAATACACACTACATGTCTAATTATATTCTCCATTAGCATCTTACCTTGCTTGGCAACTGAGCAGTAACATCTCTCTGTTATTAATTAAAACCTGTAACAGGACCAGAAAGGCTTTTGCTCGAATGGAAGTCGATGGACTTTCAAATAAACGGATAATGGTAGTCACAAAATCCTGGGTGGAAATAAAAACAACACACAAATACTGCTTATTGAATAACAAAGTAGGTAAATAACGTTGTCCATTAGCGTATACACATTTTGAATCATTCTGGCATAATAAAGATGCAATTATGTTTGGATTCAATGTTCGTTAAATCCTTTTCATAACATTAAAATACAGCCCAAAACCCCACATGGTACTGTTGAATAAGGCAGTTTTGTCCTAGACAGATAGGCTGACTGCAGTGCTGACATGTGCAGCCTTCCAAAGGCCAAGGTTAATAGACATTTTCTACTGTATTGGACCCAAAATAGGACTAACAGGTTATTTAAAACACACAGAAAGCCATAATTAAAGTTATTTCATCCTAACAAAAGACAAAACAAAGGATATTTTAAACCCAATAGTTCATTTAAAAGAAAAATTGTAATTTTAAAAATTGCAAAAATACATACCGGTACTTGTCTTTCCTCCTAATACTATGAAATTTAGTAGTTTACATACTACTTTCAATATGAGCTAGAAGATCGTAAGCTAATACAAATAAAAAAATATTTGCTTGATGTAACTATAGGCTAGTTAAGTATACCGTGTACTATGTGGCACATCAGATCTAAGTTACATATCAAGGACCCTGGATTTAAAAGAAAACACTGTTTCCCTCTGTAACTATGCCTGGTATGGGTCACAGCTGAGGGCCAATCTCAGGTCACACTGTGAAAAAACTGGGAAGACACTCCCACACTGGTGGCATATTCTATGATTAGATTAATCAAACTAGCAATAAATGTGAGCTACTGGATCACTATACTAGTTTAACATGAAGCCATAGGCAGTCCCTTTAAACCTATATTATCACCCAAACTGGATTTCTGTGATGAAAGATTATTAAAACCACACATTAGGTTCTTCCAGCCCCAGGAGGCCAGTCACTTACCTATAGGGTGACCAGATGAGAGACATGAAATATCAGGATGCCGGGGGAGGGGGAGGAGCCAGCAGAGGAAAATAAAAACCCAAGAGCCGCCAGAGCATAGGAAAAATTAGTGGGGGCTGAGCACTCACCAGCAGCTCCACGCCCCACCCCGCCCACCCCCCTGCACCAGCTCGCCTCCACCTCCCCTGCGCGGGCTGCCGCGTCCTGCTTCTCCCCCCTCCCTCCAGCACTTGCGCCGCCATACAGCTGATTAGCGCAAGCCTGGGAGGGAGGGGGGAGGAGGAGGGAGGAGGAATGCGGCATGCTTGGGGAAGAGGCGGGATCCAATGGGGCAGTGAGGGGGCGGGAATTTGGGGAGGGATCCAATGGGGGAGGGAGGGTGCAGAGTCAGGGCGGGGGCAGGGCGGAGTTGGGGGGGGGTGCGAGCCTCCTCCACCTGTGTGCCGGAGGGCAAAATATTGCGACAATTCGCGTCCCAACCGAACATCAGTCGGGACGCGGGACAAACAAGTAAATATCGGGACAGTCCCGATAAAATCGGGACATCTGGTCACCCTACTTACCTAGGTCAATGGACGCCCAAGACCTTACACTAAAAACAACACTGTAGTCATCCTTTAGTAAACTAAAGATGTATTAACTAAGAAAAAGGAACGAGAGTTACTAAAAGGTCAAAGCAAATAAAAATGAAAGAAGCCCAGAAACAGCTTCCTTATTTTAAAAAAAAACTTTCCCTTAATTTTTTTAGTAATTAACATTTAACACAGTACCGTACTATATCTATATTTTTTTGGGGGTGGGGGTGGGGGCGGGGAGTTCTCTGCTGCTGCCTGATTGCGAACTTTCAGTTCCAAATGAGGTGTGTGGTTGACTGGTCTGTTCTTGTGTTCATAACTCTGAGGTTCTACTGTACTGATCTTTTGAACTTGGCATCTGCTCTGGCATCCATGTCAAGTGCATAGCGTTTTAGAAAGCTCAGTGGGTTATTCCACACATATGCCTTACAAATTGCAGAGATTAGTACTTTTCTGAAGCAGGCAAAAACTGTGCCCTGGTGGAGTGTGCCTTGACAGTTGGAGGGGAAAGTTTGCCAGCCCAACGATAGCAGGTGGAAATTTATTATGTAATCCATTTCAAGTTGTCTTGACTCTTTGATGCACCAGATACAGCCACAAAGCGGTGGGGTGAAAGGTTTGGTCCTGTGGATGTAGGAAAGTGGGTCCATAGACACATTCACAATATGAAGCTCCCTTTTTTCCCCAGTGAAAAATGCAGTTTCGGAAGAAGACTGATAAAGTAAGAGACCGATTCAGACAGAATTCTGAGATTACTTAAGGGATAAATTTAGGGTGCAGTTTCATTACCAACTTGACCCTGTAAAAGGACATAAATGGTGGCCCAGCCATAAGAGCTTGTAGCTTACTAACTTTGCACTGATATGATACCTAAGACAAAGACCGTCTTGATAGTGAGAGGATATAATGACCTTTCCACTAATGGCCTGAATGGAGACTCCATGAGCTATAGGAGAGGCACTATAAGCCTCAGCGTGGGGCAACTGAAGAGATGACCTGCTGAGATCCCTTCCAGCCCTACATGTCTATGATGCTATCCTGAAAAGCCATATTTCATTTGCAGTTGGCCGCCCATTTTTCCTTTCTTCCAAACAGATGTAAGCATTGGAGATCCTTATCCTTAAGCATGTTTTTGGAAAAGCTCAACTTCTTTTAGACCACCTAGGGAGCTTGGGCTAGAGTGGGAGTAAAAGTAACAGAAACCCCAGTGGGTAAATTGTATAGTTTTTTGACATGTTTTGCTGGTGGTGTTTAGTGGCTGGTGTTTGCCACAAGGCTCTTTGGGTCCAGGACACCTTCATTTATACAGAGGGCAATCCCAGTGGGACCGGCAGCTGACAAAATGTAAAATAATTTCTGAAACTTCTTGGAGATGACTGACGTCTCAGTCTCCAAGGTGTCTTCAATCTGCACCAGGAGCTCTTAAAAGGCCTTGAAATTGGCCAGTGCCAATATCAGTACTAAGGATACTGCTTTCTCTGAGGATTATGAAAAAAATCTCTTTAGGAAATAATACGGGTCATTTGGCCTCCAGATCCATTCCACTCTGTATCTAGCAACTGATGTCTCACTATGGAAGTGGCAGGAGTGGGGGACCTCCTCCTCATCTACTAAGGCAGGGATCAAGAGGGCAGGCTCTGATAGGGGCTACAGTGGCATTCCATATGTGTAGAGAGGGATGACAGGTTTCTGATCAGACAGTGTCAACCTTGGTGCACTTACAGATGGCATCTGCAAAGAATGGCAACATGGCTCTTAGACCCTCAGTAATGACAGTCTCTGCTCAACACAGGTGGAAAGGTATGTTTCAGGGATGGTGAGGAGAAATAAACCTCTTTCATAGCAGGACTATCTGATAGGGTGGTTTCAGCACAGGTGCATATCTCAGTGCAGAGTGTGGCCCTGAATTTACACTATTGTGCCAGAGTTGACACTGCTAGGGATGGGATAGTTACCTTTCGTAACTGTGGTTCTTCAAGATGTGCTACTCATGTCCATTCCATTGTAGGTGCTGGTGCTCGCCACATGCACTGGTGCCGAAAGTTTTTCCCTCAGTGGTATCCCTAGGGGACTGGCTCTGGCACACTCTGGAGTGGCACGCATATGCACTGGTATAAGGGACACCGCCAGCTCCCGCTTCCCTCAGTTCCTTCTTGCCAGATCTCCGACAGAGGGGAAAGAGAGCAGGTCGTGGAATGGAGATGAGCAACACATCTCAAAGAACAACAGTTATAAAAGGTAACTGTCCCTTCTTCTAGTGCTTGCTCATGTCTGTGATGCTGTACCCCATAATGCTTTATGGGAATATGACATAACTGGAATATGATCTACTGAATCTATCTATGCTACATATGCTATGTTACATATCTATATGGTTATGATCTACTGAATCTATTAATCCTATCTGCATGCATCATTTTTGAATTTGAAGTTATGAATATTGTCTGTGTACTGGTTTTATTGCTAAATAACCTGTCCCGCTTTTTCACAGTTGCTATCTGGTCACCCTAGCCGAGGCCTTGGAGAGAGCAGAACTGATTACACTTTCTGTTCTGTCTGGTGGTGAACAGGTCCGTTCGGGAAGCTCCCCACTTCTGGAAGAACATTCTGACGACCTCACAGTGAAGGGACCACTTGTGGTGAGAGAAGGACCTTCTGAAGTGGTCCACCAGCATGTTCTGTATGCTGGGGAGGTGTGAGGCTTCCAGGTGGATGGCATGATGAATGGAGAAGTCCCACAAACAGAGGGCCTCCTGGCACAGAGCCAACAAATAAGCTCCCTCCTCTGCCTGCTGACATAGAACATGGAGGCCGTGTTGTTCGTCAACACCTGCACCACCCAACCGGACAGTTGGGGAACGAAGACTCCACAAACCAGATAGATGGCTCTGAGCTCCCTGACATTTATATGTAGAGTGAGCTCCTCAAGAACATAACCCCTGAGTTTGCAGTATACCAAGGTTGGACACATCTGAAATCAGGGAGACAGGGGGTCGCAGGCTCATGAATGGTGCACTTTCCAACACCAGAACTGGGTTGGACTCCCACTGCAGGGACGTAAGTACCTGCGGCGGGATCATGATAAGCTTGTCTAGATGATGTCTGGCCGGGAGTAGCCAGTTCTGGAGGGGGCGTAATCTGAGTCTCGCATGTTGGATAACGTATGTGCATGCTGCCATGTGCCCCAATAGTCTGAGACAGACCTGGGTAGTGGTGAAGAAGGTGGGCAATGACACTGGCAAATCAGATCTGATATTGCCCTGAACCTGGTCTAGGACAGGAATGCTCTGGCTCAGAGTTGAGCACCAATCCAATAAACTCTATCCTTTGGACCGGGATCAAGTGGCTCACAATATCTCGACGCTGCGCTGGACCTGGATCCTGGAGTGGCCCTTGATAAGCCAGTCGTTGAGGTACGGGTAGATCTGGATACCCCAACATCTGAGGTAGGCCGCCACCACCAATATGCACTTCATAAACACCCTTGGCACCATTGCTAGGCCGAAAGGCAGCACTACGAATTAGGAGTGCGCGGTCCCAACTACGAAACATAGGAACCATCGGTGTCAGTGAAATATCAGTATGTGAAAGTAAGCATCTTTAGGTCAAGGGAAACATACCAGTCTCCTGGATCCAGGGAAGGAATGATGGAGGCCAGGGAGACCATGCAGAACTTCAACTCGAGATACTTCTTGAGGCTCTGCAGGTCGAGGATGGGGCATAGACCACCCTTAGCCTTTGGGATCAAAAAATAGTGGACATAAAACCCTTTCCCCCTCAAGTGCAGAGGGACTTCCTCCATGGCTCCCACTCGTAGAAGGCCCTGCACCTCCTGAGTGAGCAGATGCTCATGAGAAGGGTCCCTGAAGAGGGATGTGGGGGATAGAAATAAACTGGAGGGCATATCCCCCGCAACTATGGTGACGACTCACTGTTCCAATGTTATAGAAGCCCAGGCAGGGAGGAAGGGGGACAAACTGTTGGAAAAAAGCTGGGGTGCTGGATTCACGACACAGGCTGAAAGATCTCCTTCGAATACACCCTCAAAATGCCTGCTTATTACCCGATTGGTTGCAGGTGGAGCTCAAGTGAGCTGAAGAGGCCAGCTGATGGCCTTGCCGGCGCTAATACCCTTGCCCTTCTTTCGAAAGGGTTCTTATCGAGGTTGGGTCCCGAACCTGTTAAGACAGCTGTGGCTTAATCCACTTCCTCGCAGGTACCAGCATGTAAAGGCGCAGCAAACGCAAAGTAGCACTAGAGTCTTTTAGACCACGTAATTTACTTTCTGCCTGTTCTGAGAACAGTGCCAGGTCATCAAATGGGAGGTCCTCGATGGACTGCTGAACCTCCACCGATAGGCCCAAAGGCTGCAACCAAAAGACACACCTCACAGAAATAGCCGAAACCATGGTCAAGGCCTCCAAATCTGCCTAGAGTCCGGGGACTTATGCTGGGACCTCAGGCAGGTAAGCCGACCCGCATCTGAGGACTGGTAGTGCTGTTCAGGTGAGCATTGGCAGGGCACCCCCTGCGGCGGGGAATGGTGCCACACTGATGAAGACCGCTAGAAGGGTCTGGGGGTGGCAGGCAGGTCTGGAAGTGGGCTTGACCACTTAATGGGAGCTGGAGTCTGACCAACATCTGGAGGGGAAGAGCTGCCCCACACGGGTCTTTGCTCTCCTCCAGCTCTCTCCTTCCCTTTATGGAATGTAGGAGAATGCCCTCTCCCGGCCTTTCTTTGCTTTTTAGCCAGTACTAGGGATGGGGCGCTCTGCCCGAAGGCCGCAGTGCTTGGAGCAAAGTCCGATCTCGTTAGCTTCGAGGCCGGTGCAAGGGCAGACTCCATAAGAAGTACTCGGATACGATGTTTCGCTCCTTTTTGGTCTGTGGCCTGAAGCTTTTGCAAATGCAACACTCATCGCTCACATGGGTTTTCCCTAAACACTTCAGAAAGCTTCTATGGGGATCACTGACTGGCATAGATTTTTTGCAGTAATCACAAGGCTTGAAGTCCGGGGACCAGGGCATGCCCCGTCCCTAGGCTAAGTCCTATACAGGACTTACTAATTAATTCAAACTTAATACTAAAGGAACTATTAATTCTACAACTTTAATAACTATATAAAACGAATTCGCTACTAAGTACACTAACAAAGCTTGCCGAGACAAGGAGACATTCCAGCACCGTCAATGGCAGTACGAAGGAACTGAGGGAGGGGGGAGCTGCTGGCGCCCCTTATACCAGTACATATGTGTCCCACTCTAGATGGCACCAGAGCTGGTCCCCTAAGGATACCACTGAAGGGAAAACTTCCGGCACCAGTGCATGTGGCGAGCACACACACCTACAATGGAATGGACACGAGCAAGTACTCAAAGAAGAAACTTCCATTACAGGTGGAGCCTGCTGCAGCTCAGTCTGCTCCTTTCTGCTTGTCTTCAGAACAATACATGTCTTGGTCAGCTTCTAGCCCACATCCTCCTGTGTCCCCCGAGCTCCTTTCCAACCTCCTTCTCTAGTACTCACTGCATGCCCTTTCAGCATCCTGTTTAATGTCTGAGTCATCAGCTTAAATGTCAGGGCTGTTGATGTACCTGTTTAGTACCAGGGTCAGCACCAGCTGATATTGACAGTGATGCCAGTGATGGGGTCAGGTTATGGTGCTTCTTTCTCTGCGAAGATGCCTGCCTGCTTGATGGAGCACTGGTAGATGCAGTCTTGACCGTTAAATGGATCTTTGAACTCAGCTCTTCTGGATCTCATGACATTCTCACAGATTACTCTAGAAGATTGACTTTCAGCCTCACATCCTTTGATTTGTGGATTCTTACAGCAAAGGCGAGACAGACCAAACACTGCTTCAGATGTGAGACTCTCTCAAGCAGAACAAGCATCTGTTGGACCAGTATTGCAAGAGAGAGAAGGCTTGAAGCCTGCGGGTTTTGAGTCTGCCATTCCAGGACTCTGTCTGGAACTTCTGCAAGCAGCTTTCTGTTTGAAAAGCACTACAACAGACAAGGGTACTAAAAATAAAAGAATATAAATAGTTCTGAGACATTTCAGAGAGTTTGGAGACGCTTTCGAGAAATCTAGCTAAAGCCTAGTGGGTTGGACATCAGCCAAGTTCCATCTCACTACCATGGGTGCTAAAAAGGAACTGATGGAGGGTGGCAACCATCCACTCTTTATGACCTCATACGGGAGCACAATGATTCACATGGCACATAGGCACATTTAAGAAAATGGAGGTGACTTTAAAAAGGGAGCAGCGTCAGGATCTTGGAAAAGATGGATAGGAGTCAGGGGTCAAGGAGAGTATAATTTTCACAGGAAACAAAATTAAGAGTCTCAAGTAAATTCTTTAAAAAAAAAACAGACGCAGTGTCAATTTACAATACATTTTGCAAAAGAATTATATGAAAACCTACATTCTGTATTCTATTTTCTTACTGATGTAGAATATTTATTGACTAGGAATGGAGGTGAATTTCTTTTGTTTTATACAGTGAGGAATGATTGGGTGATCAAAATAAGTAGCTTTTAATCATTTTCTAGAAGATAAATTACAGACATTTATCAGGACCTGTGACACTGTTAAAAATGTCTTAAGTTAATAAAATGATTATTTCAGCAAGACATTTTACTTACAATACAAATTGGCCTAAGGTCCTATATGGATAGCATAATCCAAGTACAATTTTAGCTTCAATCACTACACATTTTCTCTTTTAAATGTCGAACGGTACTATGTCAAAGTAGCTGTCCTCATGCATTTCTCATTGTTTTTTCCTTAGGGTCATTATCAATTGATGGCCAGGCTAGAGCCTTCTGATTTTACTGAATTTTAGCTGAACCAGCAACTCAATTACAGATCAGTCCCACCTCTTGAGATTTGCAAAAAAAAAATCCTGTCAAGTTCTGTACCTCATTATTTTACACTTTTTGTTTTAATTATATCCTCCATTGTGTAGATAGCAGATAGTAATTTTCTTGACCTAAGTATCTAGTCCCGAGAGACACTATTGTGTCTGCTTAGGTGGTCTTCTCTATTAGAGTGAATGACCAAAAATGCAGACAATGGGGCGTGTGACTGCTAGAGATCTGAGGGCACTTCGAAAGCTATCATACAAAAGGCCAGCTACAAGAAGTACCACATCTTAGTAAAGGAGTTCTGAACCCATCAGGTGCAAAATGGTGACTGATAACTGCATGTAGACTATAAACTCCGCAGGGAAAGGTGCATGTCCTGAGTCTCACTATATAGAGCCATGCAAATCTATGGAGCTACATACAAATGTTTAACAGCAGCAAATTGATAAAATTACATCATTATGTAAAAATCTATACAGAAAGAATGGGAAACTCCTGGTATACTTAAAAGAGCCAACAAGCAGACGTTTTGTAAGCAGAAGAAAAACTAGGAAATACTTTTACAGCTTTCTTAAGCAGATGCAGATGTTCCAGCCATGGTAAAGGTAATTACCATACCAACAGAATGGAACTTGTTCCGTAAAGACCAGATAGACCATAAGGATGAAAGATTCCCTTATGAAAAACTTCGCCAAGTTTTGTCTGTGCCCCTCAACTTCTCTCTTTTTTTTTCCATTTAAGTTGGTAACTCTACTGTGTTTTGGGATATAGTATCAATAAAAGGTCCTATACAAAATAAAGATGCAAAATAAAAATACTGAAGAACTGCAATATTTGTAGTTACGTATGCAAAGATAATTGTAAACAGATTAATTACTTCAGAGTGTAAGATGAACACCTGCCAGGACTGGGAGGGAATTTATTGCCACCACATCCTTCCTCCTCTCCCCTACTTCCCATGTACCACATTGCACAACTGGCTAACCACTACATGGGGAAGGGAGTTCATAGTTCTCTGAAGCATCAGGTATTACATTCTGTTGAAAGCAGGACTTCAGACTTGATGGACCAGTGGCTTCATCCAGTACAGAAATCTCAATTCCTATGTCCATTTTTTCAGCTTTTTGAGTAGTGTAGGAATGTGTTTCAATAACTTGAGCTGTTCTTTATCTCCACTACAAAACAAGGTGAATATTAAGGGCAAACAAAAAGGTTGATGAGTTGCCATATGACCTTTCATAGTCTATGAAGAATCAGGAAAAGTTTTTGGTATAGCAAAATGACATGTGCAAGACAGAATCATAGAATCAAGAATAGTATAAAGTTTAAATCAAACCTTTTCTTGAATCAGTCTCTGAAGATGAATCCCACATGACAACATAGAAGCAAACATGGTCAGCATGTACTGTTGAACTTTACATATTCCAGTTGCCAATGAGTTTATAACAGCCATTAACCCAACCTTTTCAATCACACTCTGGAAAGCACTGGGTGAGTGACGAGTAATCCTGCATAAAGCCTATATAAATAATAAGATATTCCCATTAAGTAATGCTATTTTCATTTTAATAATAAAATAACTAATGCAATAAAGAAAATCAATGAACAGCAACAGCTTTTCCAATTGTATTTTTAGGAGCAGACAAATGTAGTGAATTCATATGGTTTAATTTCCCCCCACACTTATATACACACACTGCAACTTGCTCTATAAATTAGAAAGAATCATTTTAATCAAGCATTTTGTTAGTGTAAATGTTATTCCTTGCTAAGGTACAATATCATAATACTAAATGGTTATTTTATTATAAATTGGGTGTCTGTTAGCTAAATTAATTTTGCTTAACTCTTCGATACACAATAGTGAATATCCTGATTTAACGATATAGATTAACAAGGAAGTCATATTTTTGTTGTTTTAATTAAGGAAAAAGAAAACCAAAGCTAAAGCAGATGATATAAGCAATTAAGCCTATAAAGGAACAAGAAAAACAACTCCCATTTCTTTAGAGTAAGGGTTCAATTTAAAACTAATATTTACAAATAAAAACAATCACAAAATTCATCAAACACACTCCATACTTTCATATCAAATCTAACTTTTTTGACCATTGAAATAATCCATCTGAGGAGGAAGAAGAGCAATGTTCTTATTTTCAATCTGCATAGGTAAGTCAAATAATAAGTTTTAACATAGGTATCTGACCAAATTGAGAGAAATTGACAATAAAAGAAAATGATGTCACTTCATATAAATAAGTAATTTTTCTTTTGCTATTATCTTCACTGACATCAAGGAATTAATCAGTTTTGAATTATCCAAGTGTATGAAACAGATCTACAGCAGTGGTTTTCAACCTTTTTTCATTTGCAGACCCCTAAAAATTTTCAAATGGAGGTGTGAATCCCTTTGGAAATTTTAGGCATAGTCTGCAAATCCCCAGAGGTAATGACAACTTTTGCAGACCCCCTGCAAATCCCTAGGGGTTCACGGATCACAGGTAGAAAATCATTGATCTATAGTATTTGAAACAAAATAAAGGTTTTAAAAAATCTCAAAGTAAAAATTGAAGAAATGTACATTTTAAATGAAAGAAAAGAATCTCAAGGGATCATGCCATAATCAGAATATTCAAATAAATTCTCCCCATAGTGAGTTTAACATAGACACACAATTGGTTTCATTAATACTGAAAAGATTCTTGGAGCAGCTGGTAGGACAAAAATCAAACTTTCTCTTGATACAAAATCCCTCTCCAATTAAACTGGAGAAACTTTCTAAAGAAAGGGGTCACTGAAATATGTCTAAACAGATTGTACAAGGCCAGACAGCATTTGCCTAACTCTCTCAAAACGTTAGTAAACTTTGTAGACTTTCCATTTTCATTTATGAGATTTCAGTTTTCATACTGGATAATGTTTGCTGATTGACACCGGGGTGCTGGAACAGTTTTGATAGTGGAGATGCTGATGATGAAAACCATGTATTTAGTGTTTGTTATTACCACTTCAAGCCACGGGGGGCAGCAGCACCTCTAATCCCAGCACAACTGATTGACTCTGCAAAAGGTATGATTTATCAAGCTCCTAAGCAACTGGGAGGACATTCTGTCCCTAAAGCACCTTAAGTTTGGGTAATTTTTAAATCTGAAGTATGCAGAATCTCTGAGCTGAGCTTCAGAGACTTAGTCTAATGAAGAGAAAATTTGCAAGACTGATTTAGTTTCAGCATTTTGAAAGTCCTATTCAGTCCAGAATGATGAAGAATTAAAATAATCTCATAACTGTAATAATAAAGTAACTTGCCTGAGAAAAATATAACTGTGACATTAGACCATAAATACAAATTTATACTGTTTTATACTAAATAATGTTTGATATGCATTTTAAACCGGGTGTTCTAAATTTGATCCCATAGCTATTTTTTTATAACTCCAGGACAGAAAAAACTAAAAGTATTTGCTTGGTGCTTAGAAATGCAGTGGAGTCTATTTAAACCGAATATGGGTTATTTAACAGTAGAACTAAATAGACATTTTATTGAACCTGTTCAACTACTCAGTGTTCCTACTTTCTTGTCCTCTCCAGACCAATGCAACCTTACCAATTCCTGTTCTTTTCATTCACTTTCTATAGCCATCTCTCTTTTAAAACAGATTCTGCAAAGTCCATCAGTCAGAAAAAAAAATCAAATCAAATAAGATGACTCAGCTGAGCTTTGGCAAGTTTTTAATCCCCATTTAAGTGGTTTATGCTGTATGTAGCTGGCTCTTCCTACCATAGAAAAGGCAAAACTCTCTCTCTCTCTCTCTCTTCATATTTTAAACACTGCATCAATGTTTTGTGGCCAATGAAGACATAACCATTCCACTTATTTTGAAAAAAAAATGTTTTTAACTGCTGCACTTTGAGAATGAGCCATTTTGACTCATATTTTGTAGAATTACTTCTTTGACACACGCAAGACATTAAAAAGATTCAGTTTCTCTACAGGATAAAGTCTGTTGTATTTACCTGGTGCAAGCTAGACTCCAAAGAAAACAAAAATATTGAGACTCAGTTCCAACTTATCATCTGTGACAGAGGACTGCATTAAAAAAGTGTCTTTTTCCTTGACTAGAGACACTGAGGACAGAATCTTCTTGATAGATTTTTATTATTGATTAAAACTAAATTAGAATAAATAATAATCATAAGGAGCACAATTCCAGAGTACCCTTAGAGTGAAATCCTGATGTTGGTGTACTTTCCATATTGCCTATTCTCTCAATGTCAAGATACAACAGTCATTTCTCAAACAAAATGCATTCTTAGATATGACAGTCTCAATTGTGAAGAATTCTTCAAGATACCTTTAAAAAAAGGCAGCGAAGGCTCCCTCAAATATGATCAAATAAAATAGGATATAGGACTAATGACATCTGTTCACACAGTCATGAGGTACAAAATTGACTAAATATATCTTTGGAACAATAAATTACAGTGAAACCGATGGCACGTACCAAAAAGAGGCTCAATGTCACAGAAAGACATACATGTTATGTCTACACTGCAATAAAAGACCTGTGGCACAGCTGCTGCTGGCCTGGGTCAGCTGGCTCAGCCTTGCAGGGCTCAGGCTCGCAGAGCTAAAATTTGCAGTGTAGACATTTGGGCTAGGATTGGAGCCTGGAATCTGAAACCCCATAAGGGGAGGGGGGTCTCAAAGCACAGGCTCCAGCCCAAGTCTGAACATCTACACTGCAATTTTTAGCCCTGCAGCCCTGAGACCTGCTAGCCCGAGTCAGTTGATCTGGGATCTGAGACTCTGTACCCAGGGTTTTTTTATTGCAGTCTAGACGTACCCGTAGTACAGTCTAATATAGATTACCTGATAGAGGTATATAAAATCATGAGTGATATGGAGAAAGGAGATAAGGAAAAGTTATTTACTTATTCCCATAATACAAGAACTAGGGGCCACCACATGAAATTAATGGGCAGGTTTAAAACAAATAAAAGGAAGTTCTTCTTCACACAGAGCACAGTCAACTTGTGGAACTCCTTACCTGAGGAGGTTCTGAAGGCTAGAACTATAACAGTGTTTAAAAGAGAACTGGATACATTCATGGAGGTTAAGTCCATTAATTGCTATTAGCCAGGATGGGTAAGGAATGGTGTCCCTAGTCTCTGTTTGTCAGAGGGTGGAGATGGGTGGCAGGAGAGAGATCACTTGATCTTTGCTTGTTAGGTTTACTCCCTCTGGGGCACCTGGCATTGGCCACTGTCGGTAGACAGGATACTGGGCTAGATGGGCCTTTGGTCTGACCCGATACTGCCATTCTTATGTTCTTATGTTATGTTCTAATCCAGGTGTGGGGAAACTTTTTGGGCCAAGGGCCACATCTGGGTATAGAAATTGTATGGCGGGACATGAATGCTCACAAAATTGGGGTTGGAGTGTGGGAGGGGGTTAGGGCTCTGGCTGGGGGTGCAGGCTCTAGGGTGTGGCCAGAAATGAGGAGTTCAGAGTGCGGGAGGGGGCTCTGGGCTGGGGCAGGGTGGGTAGGGTGCGGGCTCTGGGATGGGGCTGGGGATGAGGGGTTTGGGGTGTAGGAGGGTGCTCCGGGCTGGGACCAAGAGGTTCGGAGGGTGGGAGGGGGATCAGAGCTGGGGCAGGGAGTTGGGGCGCAGGGAGATGGCTCAGGGGTGTAAGTTCTGGGTGGAACTTACCTCAAGAGGCTCCCGGAAGCAGCGGCATGTCCCCACTCCAGCTCTTACGCAGCAGCGCGGCCAGGCAGCTCTGCACGCTGCCCTGTCCGCAGGCGCCACCCTGCAGCTCCCACTGGCTGAGGTTCCCAGACAATGGGAGCTGCAGGGGCAGGGCTTGGGGTGGAGGCAGCATGAAAAGCGGAGCCCCTGGCTGCCCCTACAAGTAGGAGCCAGAGGGGGGATGTGCTGCTGCTTCTGGAAGCTGTGCGGAGCGGCTCCTGACACTGCTCCCCGGCTGGAGCGCCAGAGCGGGGCAAGCCCCAGACCCCGCTCCCCAGCGGGAGCTCAAAGGCAGGATTAAAACTGCTGGGGGCTGGATCTGGCCCACGGGCCATAGTTTGCCCACCCCTGGTCTAATCCAAAAGGGCCTTAATTGTGTAGCAAGGCTTCCATCAGTCCACTGCAACCCCAACATGGCTCATAAAACCTACAAATGTACCACATTGTTCTTAGATTTAATTACTATGAATGACAGTAGATAGTTGGTGGGCCAGGGAAAGAGGAAGAATTACTTTATAGCCTTGTGGTTAGGGATGTGTGAGTCACAAGTTCAAGTGTATGCTTCAATGACTAAAAAGTGGAACAGCTTCAACAGGGGAGACTGAGAAGTACCCATACCAGAATATCCCATAGACCAGTGGCTAAGACACTGTCCTGCAATATGGGAGATGCAAGTCCAAATCCCTTCTCCTCATAGACAGAGAGGGAATTGAACCTACATCTCCCACATTCCACAAGAGTACCCCCAACCACTCAGCTAAACCTTAT